CAGGAATTCTTTACTTGCAGAGTGGTGAACGCGTGGAATGCGTTAGATGACGAAGTAGTGGCTGCCCCTTCTGTGACTATCTTTAAGAAGAAACTAGATGCTTTCATGGACAGGCAAAAAGGTGGGGGGCAATGTTGACGTAGGTACTAGACAGTAAGCAACTAGGATAGTAAAAAAAAAATACAAAAATATATAGCTTTAAGAGGGTTAGGCCTACCCTAAAATTAAGGAACGCTCGACCTCGACACGTGATATCGAAATGGGCGAAATCGCCTCTTGATATCACTAACTCTCCTGACTCCTGAAGTCTTTCCCTGGCACCAAGAGGAGTGCGATCCCAAGATGGTTTCCCACGGTCTTTACGATAACGCTCACCTTTCCCGATGGGGAAGACGATACTCTTCTTCCTGAGCTTTGTCCGAATCCCTAAGATGAGAAAATGCAGCCAACAGCTGACGCAACTCCACCTGGCTGTAGAAGAGTGATGCCAGAGGCACCAAGAACACCATCGTTCGCTTTAGAGAGGACGGTGCGGTGCCGTTGAGGGCTGGTGCCAGAAATGTCCGCTCCTGGTCGATCTTCAATGACGCAAGCGAAGGAGAACCGTTCCGCAACGGCTCTAAGTGCTCGCGTCAACGTCGTATTGCTCTTTTCCAACATGCAGCAATCCGCATCAGCCGCAGCAACAGGGTCGATCGTCTTCAGCTTATTTGAGCAAGACAAAGCTACACATGCTGAGAGTAGTTCATCGGTTCGTAAAGGGAAAGAATCCAGTTCCGTTTTATTTACTTATTTATTCCTATTATTAAGTGCCTGTGCCGTCAAACGCCTTCCTTGGTGGACCCAGAGACTGCTGGACAAAACAGCTGACTGATCAGCTTTTGTACGATGTGACATCTCTGTCAGCGGCCTGAGGAATGTGGCGCCGTCCGCGACTTCTATCCGGTATCCCGTTTGTTTACTCTCATCCTGCGTTGGGTTCTCTTCTTTACCGGTCGGCGAGATGGCATCTAACACTGTCGAAGTATTCGCAGAGTACATGAAGTACCTTGACACCGATCAGCAGCTCAGAGAGGTAGGGTAGGCCTAAACGTGTGTGGACTTGACGTTACACCTAGCCTAACAGGTGTAGGTTTCAATTAATAGTTAAAAGGCTCTTCATATTCACTTTATTGTTTTCCCTCAGAGCTTGAGGTCACAGGTGCAGGTCATAGAGGAGATTGCCCGGAAGATTCAAAACATCCTTGGGAACATTCATCAAGCCAGCGATCGTGAAAAGAGTTGAGTATCGAATCATGTCCTCACTCTGAATTTATGCTAAGTTTTCTGCTATTGGCGAAAGAATTATCATTTCAGAGGTAACCCATGCCCATTGCATTCCATTCGTCATTGCTGATGTGTAAGGAGTTTTGTCAACTGCCCTATACCAGATTTCTGGAATTGTCATGGCAATTTTACTGAACACAAGTGGGTCTGTTCATGCCAAGTGGTCTTAAGATTTTAGCTGGAAATTTTCCTAATTATGCAAATATTACAGAAGTTCATCTCTTTTCCCAGACGACATGAATGAAAAAGAATATTACTTTGAAAAATGAAGAGAATTAGTCATGATTATGATACATTATTCATACCACTCATGATACTCAAAATTATGATGAAAATCAAATCTGAAGAGACTGAATTGCACTAATGGAACAGATGCCAGCATGGGCTTTCCATACATACTGACAATTTCAAATCAGCTCTGGTGTGAAGAATAAATGTCAATTGTTTATTTTAAAGATATCACTCAAAGGCAAAGTTAAAAGATATGTACAGACTTCTCGTTTCAAAATGCATTTTTGGAACATGTCACATCTGACACTGTGGACAGACCCATGTCATCTTTTTGTCACATCTGCAGTTTTGCCACAAAAAAAAGAACTCTCAGACCTGTCACTTCTTAGGCTTGACTCCCAAATAAAATTCACAACCATGAGGTTTCAGTCCAAAAAAAAAAAAATTCTCCATTATACTCTGTTATGTAGATGTGAATGATGAGGTTTGAGAGACATGATTTTTCTTTCTACAGTAACAAAGGTATGCAGTGAAGCTACCTCCCACTTCCCATCAGTGCAAAATGAAATCCAGAAGTTGAAGGAGATGCTGCTTGGAAGGGAATATTATAGATTCCATGACCTCTGGAGATTTGTGATGCAGCGTTTATCTTCACAAGTGGTACTCATTGCATATCTGATGCAAGATCAAGTCATACCACTTGAAGAAGTGGCCACTAAACTGGGGTGTAAGCAGGAATCCTATTCAAATAAGATTTGTTGTAGATCTATTTCAGAGTGATGGAGTCAAATAGTCATGAAAGAGGTTATATTTGACTAATTCTGTATGGTTTTTGCATTATTTTCTAGTGAACGGTGACAGCAAAGAAGGATTCCACCTGGACCTGGAGGATTATCTTCATGGTGTTCTTCTTATGACCATAGAATTGGTAAGCTTGTGAATGACCCAGGGTTCCCAAGAAAACAGACAAACTGGTTACTCTAACCTGCTTTCACCTTTGACTTCTTATTGCTCATAAGACTTAGGCACATGTTCTTTTTTATGACCTTAAAAGAGCCACTCCTAGTATTGATCTTGTTCTAATATTACATTCGTTTTTGACAGGAAATCCCTGTCCACTGTAAGAAAGCTAGTAAGAGTGAGTGTGTGTGTGAACCTATAACCAAATTTCCTGTCCCTCCCTGAATTTTTCCTTCCTTCCACACCTACTCATATGTTTCTATTAATTTCTGCAGGAAACTCTGATTACCCTTTTGGGGTCCGAGTACTTTGCATGTCAGCTCTGTTGTTAAAGTTTTTTCTATCCTTCTTCATGAGGCCAACACAAGATAACTCAGGCATGGACCCCAAAGGGTTAATCATTAATCATCTGTCAAGAATAAGAACAAAAGATCAAGAAGACATTGATCAATGTCACTCATATTTTGAACTAAAGAAACATTCCAATCATCTCTACCGTGTTCTGGTTGCTTGAGTGAGAGTCAATTGCATTCAGAAGTGAAATAGTAGGAGTTGAGTAGACCAACTGCCTATGTTCATAATCATTGGCCCCCCTGGTACCCATAAGTCAAGGGTAGCAAAACATATAGCCCCTACCATACAACAGAAGCCAGTCTGGACTATAGGTTCCATCCGCTTGTGAATCTTCTAGATGTATCCAGTTTAGCCAACCCTGCTGTAAATGAAGTAAGTATAATACAAATGCTGCACAAAATGCCTACTCATAAATTCTTATAATAAATTTTGTTATTAATTGAACTGTTCAGGCTGACCCACCAAGGTTCCTTTCTCTTATGTGTAACTTGTTCACTGCTGCTCATGCTTTGATAGAGAAATCATTACATGATTAAGCATAACTCTAACAAGGCCAAGCTGGTGCTATTTTGTGTTAGTACACCAGAGATAAGTAGTAGTGCATATTTGCTAGGGCTGCAATGGCAGCTTTGAAAACTGGTACATCAGCAGAGTCATTGATAAGCAGTGTGTAGTACAAAAAAAAGAAGTTTGATGATGACATCAAGCTCAGTATTATTTCCTCGTTGGTTTTTGGTCTATTCTGCATTGCACTGCAGTTTCGTGCAGGGGGAAGTCAGAAGCCCATGCAAGAACAAAAGAAAATCTCACCAGAGTGGCTTCTGTTCATCACTATTCTTGTTTTCATTGTTTCATTTTCTTGGCCATATGGGTCTCCAATATTATGCACTTGCAAACTTTGCCTCTGTCACTTCTTACTGTTCTTATGTATTATGATGGCTGATGGATTTTGACAAAGCCTTTTGGTACGTATACATGCAAAGGCTAGAATGTTTTCTGAAATTTATCTCTGAAATTCAGGAGTTGCATGCAAATTGCTTAGAAGCTGACAGGTTTGATGATTTGAACAGGGAAAGACAGACCTGCTGAGAGCATGTATAGGAAAGCATGAAATAGAGTGAGACGAATAACAATGTAGACCTCATCGAGTCCAATACGTGCAACATGACAAACAGCATGATTATTGCAAATGCAGACAGGTGTTGTCATTTGGTTGCATTTTTATTTTTTCCAGTCTCGGTTTGCTATCAACGCTGTGACTGCAGGTGACTATGAACGTCCTCGAAAAATTGCCTCCATGTTGTCTGAGCTTCAGGCTAGCTTTGGGCTCCTCAATTTGAAGAACGATTCCTTGCGGAAGAGATTTGATGGCCTCAAGTACAATGTCAAGCGAGTAGAAGAGGTGGTTTACGACTTGTCAATTCGTGGCTTGCTGCCTCCAAGGGCAAAGGCCACTTGATTATCTATTTGTTGATTCATTTTGGTTTTTCTCCTTTGATTTGATTTTGTTGATTTTCTACTTGTGTGAATTCATGGCCTTCAAGAAGTTTTCAAATGAAGGAAAGTGGATTACCTGCTGTATCATTGACTCATCATTCTGAAACTGGTGAATCATTTTAAAGAGAATCAGCTCAAGAAGCATTGACTATATGCATCTGTCAATAATGAAATTCAAAATGTGAAAATGGGGTAAGAAATGAAGCTCTATCAATAGCCAGCATCCCAGTCAAGGACATTATCCAAGGGCTGCCCATCAGAGAATTTTTGTAGCTGGGAAGAAAACACGGTCACAACTTCCTGGAGACGAGTTATTCCAGACACATGAGGGGTCACCACCACCTGCAACCAAGATGGGATCTTACAGATCAACAAGGTTATTGTTGTACTTGACATGATGCAATTTTAAGGAGGAAACCTGTTGGTGTGACCACAGAGGATGATTCGAAGGGAGAGGCTCTTCATTGAAGACATCCAAGATGGCTCCTCGGATCCACCTTTCATTCAAAGCCTTGAGGATTTCTTCTTCCAAGATCAAAGATCCTCTGCCAATGTTGACAAAGAGGGGCTGGTTTTTGCAATTCTTGAGCATGCCATTGTTTAGGAGACCACATGTCTCTGGAGTGTTTGGCAGGACACAGACAAGTAGATCCAGGTCTGACAGGAAGTTGTCCAATTCTTTCACAGTCCTGTAAATAATGTTATTACCTGAACTATCTCTATTGTGACAGGATGAGTCAAGAGGTAGAGATCAACAAACTTGTAGTCAGAGAGAATAGTGGCTTCACATCCTAGGTCTAGCTTTGGACAGCGACCCAGGCCTTTCACTCTTCCTCCAAAGTGGTGGAGGGTACGACAAACTGGCAAGACAAGTGATGATGGCATGCAAGATGACAGAATTGCAACAAACAGGATGCTTCAAATTGCATATTTGCAAATTAATTAGATAAGCCAATATGATTCTTTTCTCCAATATGATTCTTACTTTCCATGCCTATCTTGCCAACACCCATAACCCCACAGGTCATGTCCTTGATGAGCCTATAATACTTGATGTTCCCATCTGCAATCCATTTCCCTTGAGACTGATTTTGGTGACAGAGGAAAAACTTCCGTTCAAAGTTCACAACCTGGGCCAACACATACTCAGACATCTGCTTTCCAAAGTGGTCTCCAGAGAAACGTGTCACTGTGAAAGTTGGTTTTCCCTGAGACAAACCAGGGATTTATGTAACAAACAATCATATATTGCATTGAATGGACATTACTCTAAACCAGTAAAACTCACCTTCTCTGGAAAGAATCCCTTCATGATTCTTTCCACTCCTGCATATGTAGTCTGTGCCCATTTCAGGTTTGGCAAAGCATACAAGATTTGTCCCAATAAGTGTCCATCTGCAAGCAGGATTTCTGCAGATTCCAACTCCTTGATGACACCTGAAGGAACTTTTGTGTCCAGGATCAATTTGTATGGCTTGTCAAGACCTGTGAGGAAACAGATACATAAATTTCAATAACCAAGTGCAGGAGCTTTTGTACACATTGAGGTTTTCACATGGCTTTCTTTTATTTTTTATTTATTTATTTAAAAAAGACTGAATGGAGTATTCAAGCAGATATCCAGATCTGTTTGCATTCTATTCCCTTCCACTTTCCCCTCAGCAGCTTTGGTCTTGGAAAGGGGAGACTTGAGAAATGCTGTGAACACTACAAAAACTTAAAGCCATGGATTTTAATCCTGATTGCATATTTCCACACACCTCCTGGGATGTATGTGTGCAGTGTTTACAGATTGACTCTAACCCTGATTTTACCCAGATTTACTCTTACCCTCTACCTGCCCTGGTGCTGTTGCACTTGGTGCTGGAGAGACCCCTAGTAATTTGAAACATCGTTAATTGTGAAGAAGTATACTTATGAGTGAAGCCGATGGAGCAATATTTCTTCATGATCGAGGGAACTGCTACTAAACAACTCGACGGCAGTGCCCATAGAAAAGCAAGAAGCACATGTAATGGAGGTAAAAGTCAATTCAGAAATACTGTAATAGGCACCGGTGTATTTAGGGCCTACATGTTTGAATGAGAAGACAGTTCAACCCAGTAGCGTATGGACGACTGGACCAGAGAAGCGACGTATCTCTCCCCCTCATTTTTTTTTTTTTTTTTTTACATTTCCGCGACGTTCATAGTTTTAATTATACTGCCGAGAAATCACATTTCATCTTGCCATGACCGAATTTGAGCCCTGGTATCGGCTATTGACAAGGCGTGGACTCACCCTGAGGACCTGGAATGGTGATTTCTTTAACGGCAACATCAGGCAATGCCTTTCTGAAATTCTCAGAGATGGCTCCAGGCGGAAATAGTTGGCACAAGGTGTGCACAACTCGCGGCTGACCAGCACGTGCCAATTGATTTGCCATCGTCTGATCATGCGCGAGCCGTAGCTCGGATACGCTGCTGTAATTGGTCGATAGCACCAGCAGACGACAGCAATACGATATGGCCGCCCCCTTTACAGTGACCTTGTGACAGATATAGAAGAATTACTTCGCAGAATAATTATTTTTTCTTTCCGTCTCTCCGATGGGTAACATCCCAGCGCTTTGAGGACATGGGGACATTCCAGATAGCGAATCCAGAATCGCCCAAGTCTAATGCAAGGTCTAATTCAACATTCAGTGCAGTCTTCTGAAGTCGTTCGTTGCAGTCACAAGGGAAGTGGCGGGGTCCGATCTCCCTCCTGTTGGTGTTGCGCTCGACGATGATGCCTCCAATGTCATGCACTTACAACACCAGTTTCTGCAGAAGAGTTCTACAACAGAAATGCAGAAGCAGCTCGAAACTAACTTGCACCATCATCACCAGGTAAATCCATGCACAGTAATCAACAAGGGCAGAGGCCTAATGGTTTTTCACACTGAATTATTATTAGTTATTATTATTATTATTACTATTACTACTACTGCATGAAATTTCTGAGCTATTAATGCTTAATCTCGCTCAAAAAATGCTTTTATTTTTTAGATCTCTCAGAGAAATAGGATTCTGACAAGTCTGACAGCAGGTGCATTAGCTGGTGCCATTGCCAAAACTGTTATCGCCCCCATGGACCGAGCTAAAATATGCTTCCAGGTATGATTGGATATGCATGCATTGATTGTTTCTAGTGTGAACTTTCTTCTTTTTTTAATTAGTGAGGATTTAGTGTAAGCCTGCCATATCAATAATGGGTGTAAGCATATGCACTTGCCATAGCAAGTGCATTTCAAAGAAAGGCTGTTTTCTTCATATGAGTTCCAGCAAGGACGATTTAAGGCAAAAAGCATCAATTTAAGTTTAAAGCCCAGTCGAATGTATTGTGCTACATCATGCTAACACCTGCGATGCATTCAGTGTTTCTGGTATTTTTCTCTAAGGTTGTTCAAACACAGAACTTTCTTTATGGCAATTACAGGGGTCTTACTCTTAAACTTAGACACTTAAGGGAAATTGGTGGATGAGGAAAAACCAATCTGGATATTTAAAAATGAATGCAGGGTATGTAGGATTTCTTTACCTATCTCTTTAAGTAGAGGACACTTGTGATGTAATTTGGCAAAAGCAGGATCAGGAAGATGTGAGAAAGAGGAAGGTATTTTTTCAATGTCTGTAGACACCTCATAGTAATCTGGTCGCTGATGTTGCTGACATCCTTCTTCCTTGCCATAGGTGAATCAGAGAAGATTTGGGCTATGGAATGTTCTGGAATTTCTTGCCAATTCCTATAAGACTGAAGGTTTCTTCAGCCTTTGGAGGGGGAATTCTGCCACCATGGCTCGGATAGTGCCATATGCAGCCATACAATTTGCAGCACATGAGCAATGGAAAAATTTGCTTCGTGTTGATAATCCTAAGGAAAGGTAAAATATAACCTTTTCTCATTTATTTGCTGATGCATTGCAGATTAAAACTAGGCATATTGCACCTCTTTCCCCCCCCCCCCCATGGCTCAGCATTGCAATAGCCAGAATCTACTTGCCTATTTTACAAGATCTCTCATGGAGTTGGTTCTGATTTTGATTATTGGTGCTTTCCTTGTTTTTTCAAAACTTTGGTAGAATATAGTTGAAAACTTTTACTGTATTCTTATTGTGACAGTGTTTCAGAGTGGAGGAGGTTTGTGGCTGGTTCCCTGGCAGGTATAACTGGGCAGTCTTTCACCTATCCCTTGGACATTGCCAAAGCAAGACTTGCTGTCACTACCAATAAGCAGTACAAATCACTTCGACAGGTCCATTCACTTTGAAAGATGTTAAACCATGAATGTTCTTATCATTTGCAAAGTGACAATGATGCTAATGAACTCAATTTTTCCTTTCCAGGTCTTTGTGAAGTCCTATCGGCAGGAAGGTGTCTTTGCACTTTACAAGGGGTTCATCCCTACAATAGTTGGTGTGATTCCTTATGCAGGGACTAGTTTTTTCACCTATGAAACGCTCAAGCGCTGGCACCTTGGTACTTCTCCAATTATTCTATATATGCTTAATATATTCACTTATTTCATCCTTGAACACTGAAATAGCTACAGCTGATAGGCGGCACAATGTTTAGTCTTCATGATATTGTGTGGTTGTACATGTGCAAGAGAAGCAGGGTATGGGGTGACAACCATCTTAGATTTTCAATCAGCTGGTACTTTTGGTAATGCAGAACAATGTCCCCCTTAGCCATTTCTGTCTGAATGTTTTATTGGCCATAGCAAGGTCATGTTTGCATGAGAACATTCATAAACTTTAAAAAATAATATAGTCTGTCTTTCATCATAATGTTTTTTTAGCAATCATTACATTGATTGATATTGGAATTCTGGGAATTATTATTGCAGAAAATTACAATCCAGATTCATTCATACTTAGTCCACTTGTGCCCTTCATACATTGTCTCCTGTAACTGAACAAAACATTTTTTCTATCTGTGAATCCACAGCTTGAAGCAAGAAAGTATTCCCTCATTTATTGTTATTGATAGAGAATGACAACCTGCCATAGTAAACTTAAGTGCTTGAAAGAACCAGATCAAGGGACCTCTTGTGTTGACCTTATAGTTGCACTTGTTGCCAAAGAAACAAAGAGACTTTGATGTGGCAAACAGTGCTGTTGTACGTTGAAAATGCCTCACCACACACTACCTGTATTGCTTTGGAGGCAATTTGCAACTTGATGTATGAGGTTCTGCTCCATCCACCTTATGATGCATGGATCAGAAACTTCATGCCAGCAGATTTTTGGCTCTTTCCTGCACTGAAGCATCAAGTGGCAGGCTGCTTAATAGATAGAGCTGCTTAATAAGAATCAACCAATGATGTGAAGACAGAAGTAACCTGTTGATTTTATCTCCAAAAAACCTGAGAATAAATGCTTTCTGCCTTCAAGGAGGGGGTTCACAGGCAATGAAATTGCTTAATGACAACCCTTGTATATTTCATAAATATTAGCTTATATAGTTACCACTGCAAATGTGTGGTTCTATGCTATAGCACATCTGTATTGTGAATGAATCCATGGGAATATTTGTTGAATAGTGAAAATTGACTCCTTTCAAATTTTTCAACTCCAAATTCAAATTCTTTACATTTCTGTTATCTTGTATCTGAGATATTTGACTGTAACCTGATCCAATCCAAACCATATTTACAAACTAAATGTCATTTTATTCAAAATTCAATCCAAATATTTCTGGATTAAATTTGCATGTCTTGCATTTATGGGTGCTACATAACCTTTACCCTTGAGTCATAGAGCATAATGAGGATGGATCACATGATTTATTCAGGTCTTCATTTGCTGGACACCTGCAAACCTTTTACCAGCAAGGCAAGATTTTTACTCACCCTCCACTTCCTGCAATTCTTAATGCAGCTTTTGCACTAAGACATGTTTAACCACTTAATTGGCAAGTTTCCCCTTAGCAGTGGCACACTGGGTGGGTAGTGCTATGCTGTGCTGAACTTGCATGTGCAATAGAATTTAACTCAACTCATCGCCAAAGAAAAGCATGAACAAGGAGTTTAGTGGTCTTGAAACTTGGTAAGCATTCCTATACTAGTATACCATGAAATTGGTTAGAGTTTCAGGGATGTTGGATGAATATTCAATAAGAAAACTTGCGAAACGCTCCAATTTCAATAGCAGTTAAGGAATCATACTAATCACTCATAACAGTCACCTGGAAGGATTTCATTGGTAAAACATGGTTGAAAGCTCCTGAAGACGTGTAGAAAAATAGAAGTTTCCACAGCATGGGATGAAGCAATACAGAGAAAACTTGTCAAATGCTTGAGGAATGGGGGAAGAAGGTGGCACCATTGATGATGCCAGATTCCTTTCCATCATTGTTGTCTAACCACAAGGCAGAGGCATAATGATATTGCTGATGGCTATTTCAGCAAGTTCTTGGTGTTTCATCAATGAAGTTTAATTGGAATGCATGCATCAGCTTCATGCACCAGTCTGATGCATGCGAATGATTCCTCAGACATTTGACAAGTTTTCTGTCTTGATTTATCCCATGACCTTGAAACTTTTCTTGAATTTTATACACATCTTTAGGAGTTATAAAACCATGTTTCATCAATAAAATCCTTCTAGATGGGCAATTAATACAATTCCATAGCTATTATTAAAATTAGAGTGTTTGGCATGTTTTCTCTGAATATTCATCCCACAACCTTGAAATTCTTATGGTATGGAAAGAGTATACACAAGAACTATATACCATTTCCATACCAAGGACCCAGGAGGAGTACATTTGTCAAACCCATCAGTTATGAAGGGCTGAAATCCCATGACAAATATGCTCATCATATCCAGTTAATAGGTTATTCCAATGGGCAATAGAGAGGGATGGAAACTATGCAGCGTCAGGGGTTGATGACTAAATGGAGGGTTATTTGTTAGCTTTGCACTCACCATGCTCTAAAACATGCTTGCCTTTGGTGAGTGGGATTTTGCTGGCCTGATTTACTGCCTAAATCTCAGTCAGTGAGATCTCAGTAGGTGAGATTGGTAGAACTGAAGGTTATTCAGGAAGAAGTGGATTTCAAACTAGGGAGTATGTAGAACTGTTTCTACATGTTCCTGGAGACAATTGTGGGAAATTTGCTTACCAGGGTTATTCACTGAGCATCAGATTTTCAACTCAATCTTCTAGATTGAATCCATGTTTTCATGTACATTGCAGTCAGAGGAACTTCTTGCTAATTATTCATTGCTGGAAAAATATTTTTTTTTTAGTGTTTGTCAAAAACGTTTCCAAGACATTACATGTGTGGAAAGTGTTATCCTCTACAGGAGCCTGAGAATGTCTCAGACTTTCTCGAAATGACAAGGCCCTTTGTTTTAAAAAACCCTCACTACTCAATGGCTCCTGACAAATTCTGATCCCTCTGACATGAATGTCTCTGAAAACGTGGGGTTCAATTTAGGAGGTCGAGTTGGAGATTCACTGCTCCATGAGCCTCATGGGCAGCAATTTTCCAGAATATGAAACAATTCTCCAATCTCTCAAGTTTGACTACCAACCATCCCCTGAATTTCTTGCATTCCTACTCAACTTTTCTCAACCATCTAGTAGACATTCATAATACTGAGGCTTTGGCACCAAATGCAAAATTGATACTTTATTCAGAAATAGAGGCTGTTTTGCTTCACTCTTGCACTGTTCTGCTACTGGAGGAGGCTACGGTTTAGTGCCACCCTGGTTTTGATACAATTTTTTTTTTTTCATTTGGTCATTAATTTATATATAGGCTCATTCCATCTCAATTCACCCAATCAGGAAAAACTTGTTCACTGATCAACTTTAACTATTCTCATTTTTTTTGCTAATAGGTATTCAAAATTAGAACCACTTCATCTTTTCTCCAAATTTGTACAGTGCCTAGAATAGACAGTATAATTATTTTAACAATGGGGACAGGACTTATTACGCCAAAAGTAGCAGGTTCCTTGGAAGACTTATCTGTAAAATTTGGAAAGGTAGCTTGTTCATTATGGTCTCATTTCAAAAAGGAGACCATGAGAATTCTAAATATTACTCAAAATGCATTGATACCAACAATGAAAATGAACAATTTTCAGCAAATTTTCAATTTTCTTTTTCATAAGCCACTGTGAATGTCTTGCTGAAAACATGGGAATTCCTGTGTCCCTGGAACTATGCTTCTCATTTCTCCCTGAAAATGCATAATTTTGACAAGTTTCTTGTGGCAACTGGAGGATTTGCACTTTGAGAATTGCAATTTCATAAAGAACATATTGCCATTTCTCTCACTTGGCTGCTTTGATTGGTATGATGGTATGAAAAAATACCAGTGGTTCTCCTTTCCTTCTGACTTGTGTTGAGAGGTATTGACAACTGGAATCTCTATGAGCAATTTTCACAACTTTCCAGAGAATATTTTACAAAGAGGTCAAAACTGATATATTTCATATGTTGATATATCTTTTTTTAATTTTGGAGTAAGGGCATATTTCCGCTAAAGTTGGGATCTCTCAAAGCCTCATATTTGCAAGTTACAAAGGTAGCACCATGCTTGTGATTTCATGGTTAAGAGGATGCTAGGCAGATTTTGTATATGACATTATACTTGAATAAAATAATGCCAACCTTGAAAAGGAGTAATTTTATCAGTCTGCTTGAGAAAACTGGTCCAAATATTACTTTTTCTTGAAGAAATGGGAAGCATGGTGCCAGTGACATAGGAATTACTGGGATTTCGGCATGCAGATATTTACCATGACTTGCAAGAATTGGAGCTTTTACTGAAAGTTGGATATTTTCAGGGAGCCCATACTTATGGTATGATATGCTTAATGTGCTTGTCAAAACAATAGCCAGTAAAGAGCCACCCCAAAGAATGAATTTTGATTGGAGACATTTGATGTGGCCTGGATGATATGCAGTCAGATTGCTAAGGTGTTATCTCCAATTTACCAGCATGTGCTCATGTACATTTTCAATATCCAACTTCTTTCAAGCTATTGCTAATAGCTAGCCTTGACCCAATGAAGTTGAGTGAAATCTCTGCTGAGAACATATCAGTCTGTGCTGAATACACATTCTATGAAAACAGTCTCAACAAGGGCAGAGGTATATTGATTCAAAGTTGTGAGTCCTATATGCCATGCTCTGTACATTACCAGGAATTCTCAAGGCCAAGATGCACTGTATCTTCAGGCTCTATGTCACCTTGTAGTATGTATAACTTGAAATAACTGGATTTCCTTATTAGGATTCATTTGTTAACTAGCTAATTCTAGCTTCCAGTCTCATAGATTGCATGAACAGGGAGATTTTATATCATTCAGTGTAGAACATTCACTCTGGCATCAAATATCTGAATATCACATCCTCTGAATGGTCATCCCACAATATTTGACCATGTATATAGTCTATACAGTGTATACAATGGATCTGGTTGAATGTGATCGCTTTTCCAGTTGTCACCCTCTAGCAATGGCTTTAATTGGGTCTCTGAATCTCAGCACCCATTTGCTTCAATACAGCAAAAAATATTAAATCAATACATGGTTTCTAAATTTATAAGTAATTATTTTAAATTGAATTGCTCATAATTTTAGATACCATATATTCACGATGGCTCATGTCACTCCATCAGGGATAGTTCAAAATTATTGTAGATGCTAAGAAATCATTCCTGGTGAAGCCTCCTGTCACAAAATTCATTATTTGAGAGTTTGACCTATTGAAGTTCTGCTTGGCAGGAACATAGGGACATCTGTTTTCCTACTTTCCTTGGAATGCAATTAAATGTTTCCCTGCTTATGGAGGTATCATATGAAACAGTGGCATGGTATTAATGTATCCTATCATATATTATGAAAGTTAAATAGTTCCTTTTTTCTGATGTCAATGTGAAGAATGGATTCTCATATCATCTTGACATGTGAAGATATGATTTGTACAAAACATGACCTCTCTTATTTCGTCTTTCTGGGTGTACAATTTTTCTGTCTTCCAGACAGGTACGAGAGACCTCCAAATCCAGTAGAACGAGTCGCCTTCGGTGCTGTAGCTGGGCTGATGGGACAAAGTGCATCATATCCTCTGGACATTGTTAGGAGACGAATCCAGACCCAGGTGATCACCAAAGGGAACTATCACACTATCGTTGGTACTTTGGCAGAAGTCTACAGGTGAGATTCAGGAAGTTTTTCTGCCATAGGAATTGTTATCCCTAAGATTCCATAATTCTTATTCTACAGGGCATCCCATTTAATGCAGAAAATTTTAATTGCATATAAAATTCTTCCTTAATTGCATATAAAATTCTTCCTATTTGAGGAAACCAAACAAAATTTTCACAACATTTAGACAACTGTTTAGCATTTATTGTGACAAAGTTCAGTGTGTTCCACAGCAAGCACTTTGAGATATGATAGTCTTTTAGATGCTGTAAATTTCAGTGGCATTTGATCGTGAGTGGTGGTTGCGTCCGCCATTGCATATTTCAGTGGCTAAACTAGATAACTCAAAAATTACTTGGTTTTTTAATTTTTTTAGCAATGGAGTTCACAATTAACAAGTGGCCTAAGTACACTGCTTGGTATGAATGGACAAAAAGTTGTGTGCAAGTGCAGCACCGATTCAATGCAGAATTTAGCAAAAAATCATGATGCACCAAGCCTTTCAACCATTGGACATTGGCATAAAGCCTTGATGGAAACTGGCAGTGTGCAGGACATTAAGGGGAAATGAAGACAGACAAGCATGACAGAAGGGAACATTGCACAAGTCCAAGAACATTTTGAAGGCAATCCACATTCATCCATGCAACGGGCTGCACTTGCATTGCAAATGAGCAATACTCACCAAATTCTGCAGGATTTGAAATTTCATCCTTATAAGGTTCAGGTCGTTCAAAAACTGAGGGAAGAAGACAAAGCCAATCGAATAACATTTGCCAGGGAGGAACTGGACTGAATTCAAGCGGACCCAATGCTTTTGGTCATGAAGCATTTTTGGATGAGGCCCATTTTCGCTTGGATGGCGGCATCAATCATGATAATCATAGGTATTGGGCATCAGATAATCCTAACTGGACTACAAAGAAACGACTTCATTCTCCAAAAACTACAGCTTGGGCGGCAGTACAGGAAGGTGGCGTGATCGGTCCATTCTCTTTTGACGAGACTATGAATGCTGAGTGGTTTCTCACCATGCTGAAAGAAAAATTCTGGCCAGAAATTGAATCACAAGGATTGGCTGATTATCTGGTCTTCATGCTAGATGGCACTCTACCTCATTTTGGCAAAGAATTTTGTGCCTGGCTGGACAAAAACTTTCCGGATCGATTGATGGGTCGCAGATCACCAACAATGCCCTGACAGGCCTATTCTCTGGACTTGACACCGTGCAACTTCTTCATGTGGGGCTTTGTCAAGTCAAAAGTCTACACAACCAAACTGAGGGACATTCCCGAACTGAAGGAACAAATTACTGATGCGACATTTATATAGTTTATAGACATTACTGTTGAAATGCACCAGAAAACGCTGCTTGAATACCACAAACAATTGGGAAAAAGGGTTTGAAATTGAAGGGGACCATGTTGAAGTTCATAGCTCATAATTGGTGCATTTGATTTGGCTGAAACTTTGTCACAATAAGTGTTAAATAGCTGCCTAAATGTTGCAAAAATTCTGTTTAGTTTGCTCAAATAGAAAGAATTTTATACACAATTAAAATATTCTGTGTTAAATGGTCTTTGACAGAATTGGCTCCCTTCAATGTGAATGTAAAATATAAAGGCAGAAGGGAGCAGCTTCCTACATTAAGTAGAAAGAGTTGTCATGTTCTTGTACTTATGGTCCTCTGTTAGTGGAGAATGCATTTAAATGAACTAGAAAAGGATTTACTTGTCATTGCTGCCCTGGACTAACATTAGTACCTGAAGTTCAGTATATTTCTTTCGTAGTAAGTACTTATGCATCTGAGAGAAACTTTATCCTCAAAGGTAGAAGGTCAACTGTTCAGTTTGCTATTGGAACATTTACAGCAGAGGTATGATTCAACAGATGCACAAGATGTTTATTACTGTAAAGCATTAGTGTTCGTTACTTTAAAAATTGCATGCTTGATTGTGAAATCCCTAAAGTAAACCTCGATGAACATGTCATCGTAAAGACCCGTGCGATGCTTCTGCCAAGAGCACTGCTTTTAAATGGCAAGCTTGCTTTTTGTTTTCCCATTTCCTACTCTAAATTTGGAAGTCGATTGGTAAGACTCTCAATATGTTGACTAATTTGTCAATTAACTTTGTTGACTAATGCTTAGCCCACAACTGGTTCCAATCATCAGCCCTATTGTCTTTTACCATGAGCCATCAATGATCCAATATTGGAAGTGAATTTTGAGCCTTTGGTGAATCTTGGTACTTCAAAGTAGTAATGATTGTATTTTGCTTTCCATGCTCCAGCCATACATATTTCTGGCAGATTCTATAACTATCAGATGATGTATTGTCATTTGTACTGATTTATTATGATTTTACTTGAAATTCATCAAGATTGTAGGCTAGCTTCTTTTGGAGGAAAAAAAGTATCTGTACATGCAATGTATCAATGTTCCTTTTATATGAGAAGCATGGACCTGTGATTAAGGCTGCACACCTTCAAATGCAGTTTTCAGAAAGCAAAGATGTCATTATTACTATGAAGTGTTAACCTTCTTAGCCTTGGGCCAATATTATCAGCTGTGAAATTTTCTCACTGCTGGTTCCCTTACAGGGCTGACAGAAGACAGTATTGGACGTACTGTGTAAAATAGCTACGTTTTCAGTTAAAACAAGTGTGCACTTTTCACGCATCCCTGGTCGGAAAGTGTGGCAGCCAGAGGGCTAAGATTTCCTTATGAACGAAAGGCAAAGTTGTTCACTTCTTGAAGATGCACCATTTGCAGCCATCATAGTTAACTAAATAGGTCATCTATTGATATAGTGGTGCCATAGATTTTTCTCTTTCAACATCCAAGTGGATCAGCCAGTATAAGAATGACTTGACATTGATCATAGATAATATACCGATAAATGGTATTTGGTGTTTACGATGAACCAGTTATGCCGAGCTCGGAATAGGGACGAAGGAAATAAGAATATGAGTTGTTTGCTTATCGGTCAGAATTTAATAGCAAGAAATGAAGGAGTCGTGATTCTCGATGATTTCAGGACGGAGGGGATCATCCATGGCTGGTACAAAGGACTGACCATGAACTGGATCAAGGGCCCCATAGCCGTCGGAATCAGCTTCTCCGTTTTCGACACGATGCAGGCCTTCCTTCGTCGCCTCCCCGTGTTCAGGACTTCCTAGGGAGCGACGGGGAGCGCTCGCGTGTGGCCTTGTCTCGAATCGGGCTTCCAGCCGGTGCACGGCGTGTCGTCGGCACCGACACGTGACCAGTACTGGACCATCTTCCCTCATCTTTTAGTCTGTGATGGGTTTCTCAGCCACCTTTCGGACGAGACCATTCAGAAATCATAGTGATTGTACTTATGTTTTTCGTAGTGTCTGGTAGAATGCTCGAAATCGACTGGAGTGGAAATACTTTCTGGGGATCCAAAACGCCGTACTCGTCCGAGTCGACTCCAACGCGAAAATAGTTCCATTCCGTCGATTTCCGTATTCCACTGGGTCTTGTAGTTTCAGAAATGTTCTTCATGCAACTTGTGATTCAGAGCTTCAGCTACTTCTTGCACCTGAAAGAAGCTGGTCCCTCGTACAGGAGCAATCATTTAACCAACGTATAAATTTAGGTGGATTTTGTTCTCGTATCCCACGGTTTCGTTATTTATGGGCTCACCTTCTCCCTCGAGTTCTATCCCGTCCCTGGCTTCTGGTGGTAAATATAGCTAAGCGACACGCGGGTTTGGACTACTACTAGTCAAAAATTTTATATCCCTTGTTGATCTTTGTTCCACTCGTTTAAGCTAGACGTGTTACGGTGCAATCTGAATGAATTCGTTTCGTCGCAAACCTTCCGATGTTCTCATTTTGAACACATTTAAACGGCGACCGGTGCGTCTGGCGATCACCTGCGTTGCGGCACGAGCGTAAAGTGTCGATAAATCCGATCGGAACTCGGTTCGTCTTCGTGCGGTCGTTAGATCGTGCGAAGAGCTGCGGAGCGCTACGCCTCGAGGACGTGGACGTTTCGCACGTCTCTTACGGCGATTGCCCTTCGCGTTCGCCGTCCCGAATCGATCGATGGATCGCGAAAACGGACGTCGGAGACGCGTGAATCGAGTTCCCCGAAGTGATCCCGGGAGACGAGCCGTCGAGTCGGGCAGGTGGAAGTGCAATTTCCACCGCCCGAGACGCCGCCGGTGTACGATCCGAGATGATTTGCAGGAAACGGACTGACGAGGGGGGGGGGGGGGGAGAGGAGACCGGAGTCCTCCAGCCGCCAGTGCGTCGGCGTCGGCCGAGCTTCCCTTATTATCACTATAATTTCCTCAGGGAGTGGGATGGGGGATAATGACGGGCGAGGGAGTCACGCGCACACCGGAGTCTACTGGAGTTACGTGTGGCGCCACCCAGGATTACGGCACGAACGAGGGCGAGGGGCACATGATCCCCATCCCCCGTGGAAGACCGTCGGTCGCCGCCGCGTCCCGTGCGAACGACCACGCGATCGGGCATCCTGGCACAAAGACGACCCGGCCGGTTTCCGGTGGCCGGTCTCACGACCGTATTTTTTTATTTATTTCACTTTTCTTTTCGACCCGCGCCGGAAGAAGCACGAGTCGCGATGGGATCACCGGTGCAGCATCTGGCGCGCCGAAATGAAAATTCGGGGAAGATCGCACGAGTGATGGATGGATGGGATTCGGACGGGGCGATGGATGGGATTTGGAAGAGGCGATGGATGAGCCTGAATCGTCTCGTCCCCGGCGATCGGCGGCAGCGATCCGGTATTTGCCTAGAGAAATGCGTCTTAGCCTTCCTCTTCCCGGGATCGATGTCGGGAGAATCCCAGCGGGATGCAAAGACTGATCCCCCCCCCCCCCCCCCCGGTCCCTCGAGTGTCTCTTTTCCTACGGCCATCGAACGAGATGATCGCTATATCGACCGATCGAAGGATCGAAAGGTCTCGAGGCCGTTTTCTTCGTTCCTTCCTCGCTCTTCGGTTCTCGAGACGGGAGATTTCGCCGCCGGTGCAAGGACCTCGTCTCGCGCGAGCGTTCCGGCCGTTTTGCATGAAGGGGGGAAAAAAATTCCATACTTTAAAAAGTGCAACTCATTCGCGAGCATCGGGGAGGGTCGTTAGCTCGCATCTCGTCATCCTTCGTTCGTCGAGTACCGTAAGACCCGTCCGGAAACGGGACCGGGACGCGACGGAAACCCGTCCATTCGGAATGCCTCCGCGTTCCCGAGAGATTCCGTTTCGGACAGGTTTTACCGTATCGTGGAAGATGCGAAAGCAAAATACGATGCATGATTTAGACGGCGCGGAGTGACGTTTCCCTCCCGTCGCCTCTTTCCACCCGGTTATTTCCGAACGGAGACGGCTCGCACGGTCTCTCTATCCTCCTTCCTGGCATCCTTCTTCCCCACGTCCTCCATCCCGGAATCCTCCTTCTCCGCGTCCTCCATCCCGGAATCCTCCTCCGCGTCCTCCATCCCGGCATCCTCCTTCCCTGCGTCCTCCATCCCGGCATCCTCCATCCCTGCGTCCTCCATCCCGGCATCCTCCTTCCCCTCGTCCTCCATTCTGGCATCCCCCTTCCCCTCGTCCGTCCAGAAGGCGATGGAACACGGCACCCTTTGACTCGTCGCCGTCGCGTTCCTTCCATCCTTTCCGCCGATCGCAGACGCGGTCGTCTTCCGGTCGGTGTTGCCGACCCGCGTTTCCTCGAGGACATCGGGATGACTCCGGCTCCTGGCTTTCGATTCTCCGAAACGGCGCAGGGGACCGGATGCACGCCTTCGGTGGATCCGAGCGGAGATTCCCCTTCGACTCTCGTTCGTCCGTTTGGATTCGTTCCGGGACGAGCCGAACGAGCCGACGAGGAAGGTGGCATCGTCGGTTCGTCGCACGGCATCTCTGGCTTCACGAGCGAAACGCTCAACCAGAACGTCGTCGTGCGTTCCTCGCATCGCTCGGAAAGGACGGATCTCTCGTTTTAGCGTTTTAGATCGGACGATCGGCGTTTCGCCTGGAAGAGTCACGGCCGTACGATGAAGTTCCGTTCGTGGAATCCGGGACGCTCGTTAAATTCACGCTGCGATCCGACCGAAAGGTCACCTTCCGCCTTTCCTTGCGCCGTCTTCTGCATCTCCATCTGAATCGGCAGAAAAGACGGAGGGAGAAAAAGCTTTTGTTCGCCTCGTACTTAACCCTTTCGCCCTCGACGTGTTCCTCGCGGTGAAAGCGCCATTCGCAGGAACATCGAAAGGACGTTCGTTCCGTGGAATCTCAGCTCTCGCTCCGCGACTATTGCCTGCCCCCCCTCTTCCCCCCCCCCCATCCCCGTAAAAAAGCCCCTCCGGCAGAGGATGGGATGATGGAACTCGAGCTCTGGGTTCGAGGGGAAAGACTAGTAGCAGTTTCGCGTCGTTATAAAAATCCGAAATGCCCACGGGCCTCCCTGTCGACCAGACGGCGGAGGGCAAGACTTCCTCATTACATCCTATTACGAAAAGATAATTCATGGGGATCCCGGCCGTGATTAACACGCCATTGTTCTGGCTTTCGCTTCGGTCACAACGCCTATTTGTTTCCCCGTGATGGAGGGCCGGCTCGGCGGCCATTCATCCTTGCTTTCGTCTTCCCTACGACGAGGGAATCATCGCACGATCCACCGAGGCCTCGAGAATCGTCGCGTCCTTTCCTTGCGCCGTGACCCTGGATGTTCTTTCCCGGATATTTTATTTTTATTTTTTCGACAAAAGGAGGAGGTCCTCTCGAACGCGGCAGCGAAACGAACATCGAATGTCCCGATATCGTCGATATTTTTCTCGACCGAACCGATCGAGTCCGAGGCGAGAAGACGGATCCGCTCTCGGCGAATCGTGGGACGCGTCTTCGCAAACGGGAACGGTGAAAAACGATTCGGGCATCGGGGGATACAGATACAAACACATACGTGAGGAAGATGAATGAGAGGAGAGGCACGTGGCCGCCCGTAGCAGGGGGAGAGTCTGTCGGCTGTCGCCGCTCGGCCGGCCCCGGCGAAGAGGGATCCGAACGGATGGAAAAAAAAGAAAAAGGAGAGAGAAAAAAGATCCGGCAGCCGTGCTTGGCGCCGGCGCCAGCGCCCTCGCCCCTCCGGGAAAGATTCCTGCTTGCTTGCCCGAGCCTAGGCTAGGCCGACGCCTCTCTCTCGTCCCTCCCTCGCCCCTCCTCGATCCTCATCCTCATTGCAGCGTGTGCTCTGCCAGCGAGAGCGTGTGTGCGCCGAGCTCAGTGCTGCGAGCCCGAAGTGCCTCTCTCTCTCTCTCTCCCTCTCTCTTTCGCTCTCGCACGGGGCCTAGGCTTACACGCCTCCCGCATCGAGCGTGTGCCTTCTTCCTTCGTTCGTTCGTCTTCCGATGGTCGAGGCCAATGGTGCTGCAGCCGCTTCATGTTCATGTTCCGAAGTAGGCGGAACAACTCGTTGAGGGAGATTCGCAAGCATCGTGCTCCGCCTCCGCACCATGAACAGGCCGAGAACGACACCGCCGACAAGCAAGCCGTGGAATTCCTTCTCAAGAAACTCAGTGATACCCAGCTGGAGATGTTGCGAGTCTCGTTGGAATCCCGAGGAGGAGACCTCGGAGAATGCGTCCTGTTCCCCCGTGGGGAAATGCGGTTCGGAAGGACCTACGCCAAGCCTCAGGTGTTGTGTTGTCAAGCCTTCCGCTGGCCGGACCTGTCGCGCGAGGACCAACTCCGATCTTTACCCTGTTGCACGGCCTCCAAAGATCCCATCTACACCTGTTGCAATCCCTACCATTGGAGCCGACTCTTCCTTCCAGGTGAGGAGAATGGATTTCCGATAGATCCACCGGCAGGGTTGCTCGTTTTTAAATCGCGTTTCTCGGATGTGTTTCGCGTGCGATTCCGGCCCGCGACCACGCGTCTGGAAACCGATGTCGCCCTGGGACGTGCCGTATCGCGATCGCTTTCGATCGGCGCTCGAATCGCAGGCGATGGAATGCATGGGGTCTAGCTAGCGATTTTACCGCGAGAGCCCCAAATCCCAGGGGACGTAAAAAAAAAAAAAAAATTTTATCTAAAAAAAGTCGGCGCGGGGCGGAAGGAGCCCCTCGTGCGAATGGCGTCGGGTACGATGGAACCTCGCGATGCAGTCGGCGTGCCGCACCGATCCCGGCTCCAGACGAATTTCGGCCGAGAAATGCCGAAAAGGGGGTTAAAGCAAAGCAAGGGGGCATCGAGAGAGAGAGAGAAAGAGATTCTCAGGGTCTCCGCCCGGCCGGGGGAAGGGACAAGGAGCCCTAGCCCTCATTTGACGAGAGGAGAGATGTGTGGAATGCTGCGTTGCCACGCACGCCCCCTCCCCTCCCCCTCCCCCTCTCCCCCCCCCTCCCCCCTCCGGCATAGGCGCCGACGAGTCAACTCTCCCTTCCCTTTTTCTTCGCATTCCCACCCCACCCCCTCGCCGCACGGAGAACGGACATATTTTACATGCAGATTCGTGTCGGATCGTAAGATATTTCCATTCGCCAGAGAAATTGTATGGAAAAATTCGCACTTTCTCCGCTATTCTTTATCATTTATTTATCGCAACTGCATTCCTTTATCGTAATGCGGTTCTCCCTCTCCCCCTCCTCCCCCCTCGGATTTAGGAAAACGAGATAAGACAAGGTCTGGTCTAATTCTGGATCGAAAACTACTTACTCGGTTGGAACTGGGTGGATTCGAAGATGCTCCTCCCCGTTTCGGGTTGGAAACGGTCGCACTTCCGCCACTTTTAAACCATCCATACATTTCTCTTTCCGGGCTTGAAATTGACCCAGTGACATCTCGGAAC